TCCCTGGCCGACAGGCGTCGCCTCCGAACCCCCAGGCTTTTGCCGGGCAGCTTGGAATAACTCCTGCTGCCGGTCGAGATCGCGGACAAAAGCATGATGTTGAAACCACAGTCCGTGCGTGTGGCATTGTACAGAGCTCACGGGCAACAACGAGTTTTGCAGATTCTTCGAACAGGAAATAGTTTGCAAAAACTACTGTGGCTGCAGATGCAGGTGACTGAGTAGATAGAAGCACGTCCCGGACATCTGCAGCTTGGATGACAATTTTCTGTAGTAATGGATACGCAACACTGAAGCGATGAATGTGCTTTGTTGCAATTGAGCATAGCTCGGAACGCACTTTGACACCAATACACTTGCTGACATCAGTCGATAACGCTTCGTGGGCCAGAACATTTCCAATCCCTGCACCAATGTCCAGAAATACATCGGTTTCGTCAAGTGGTCGTATCGCATCCAACATACGCGCCACTCCAGACGGCAGTATCTCCCCTGCGTTATTTTGTCTTTGCCCAGCTCTCTGACAGATGTCCCCAGCACTGATATCTCGAAACAGAATTTTGACAACACTCATCGAAATTTCTTGTGACAGCAACGAACAACGCAATTCTTTGGGCCAAGCTGGCGACTCAACGTGAACCTGGGGTTTCTCGGCATCCGAAACACTCTCATCCGCACCCTGTGACGCTTCTGGTGTCTCTGTGGGGACTCGAGCAACTAGTGATTGCGAATTAGCCCGCGTACTTGTCGTATCCGGCCTTATGGACGGTTGAGCAGTAGTACGAGGTGGTCGTCGAGTAACAGATCGGGGTAGCAAAGCTGACCGTACCTGGGAACCGCTGGAAAAGAAGCACAGGAGGAGTTGCTTATAATTTTGTCATGAGTCCGCTTTAGGCTGGCAAGACGCAAGCGGAGCTCCTTCGCTGATCTACGCGTCTTCTTCATCCGTCTCGCCACATAGTCCCAGGTTACTCGAATACCTTGGCTTTCAAACAGCTGCGCAATCTGAACCAGTTGCTTATCATCCCAGTCTTGGAAGGATGTTTGCACCATGAAGTAGAAGTGCGTATATTTGGTTCTCACTATGTGGGTATGCAGACAAAGTGCTGCGTGCGACTTGAACTTTATATTCGTAAAATGGTTGGTGTGCATTGAACTATAGCAAGAGGTCCAGGCCGGTAAGATAAAAACTGGGATTGGAACCACGTTATATAACGCCAATTGTAATGACGTTGACGACGTGGCTGGTATTTTATTCGGTCCCACATCACGTAGCGCAGTGCTGTGATTGGCTGAAAACACTTTCACAAAACACGGTAGCTCAAATTCGGACTTAGTATTTAAAAGGCGCCAAGAGCGCCCTTTAAGCCCTTCAATTCTACCATGTTTTGAAAAACATGTAAAACGGCGAAAAATGTAGCCTTTACCGCGAAAGGGTTAATATTATCACGCATCCAGACTATGAAACTCAAATCATTAATATTTTTTCGAGGGTAGCGCTAAGCAATATTTTAATAAATATTGTAGTTTTAATTTCAATTCTACTAATGCCGTGCGTTGCCCGGGAAGCTCTGGATATTTACGCATCGAAACGCTACAAATACAAGTAAATAATATCTACCGTATAAACATCAATAACATTATTACCCG